GAACGATTTTCCGACGATCAGCGATGGCGGCGGGTGCAATGGTGACCGCCACAGGAGCAGTGGTGCTTCTGTATATACTGACCCGACGGATCGTGTGGTCGAGAGATGGAGAAGATGAAACAGGAAGCGAGTTTGGTAAATCGGGAAGATCCGGAAGGAGACGGATTGTAAGAAGACCGGCTCAAGCTCCGGCGACTTGGCTCGAGACTATTTCAACTTTATCTGAGACATTACGGTTTACGTATTCAGAGACTCTAGGCAAATGGCCTATTGCCGATCTGGCTTTTGGTATTAACTATTTGATGCGTAGGCAGGTATGTTCTTTGAATCTTCTTCTGGGTTTTTCTGGGTATCTATCAATTCGATGCATAATTCAGATTGATCGATCTTTAACTATGGAATTATGGTATTAATGCTAGTTTCAGATATGATTGCTCTAAAGACTTACCCTTTTGTTCATATTACTGTAGGTGTATGTAGTAATCTGATGATTAGTGAATAGTGATTAGAAGCTGTGTGTGATTTGATGTTTCAATTCAGAGTGTTTTTTTTTGTTGTTGTTGTAGTTAGTAACATTGCGTGGTTGGATTTTTTGTTTCCAGGGAAATTTTCCAGCTGCTAATGTTTATGCTGGAAGTAATTGTATAGAATTAAAAGGACCAGAGATTATCATGGAGTTGGCAGAATTACTGAGATTTTTGACTCTCTGTATGCTCTTCTCCAAGAAGCCATTTGCTGTGTTTCTGGAGACTGCTGGTTATACTCATGAAAATGTTCTTCTTCAGAAGCCTAAAGCAGGGGTAAGTCATGTTAATGTGATTTATTTGTTTTGTTTTCGTGCTATTGCTCGTGAGTAGCTTGTTTATAGTGACTATATACAACTTTCTTTGCCAGACTAGAAATCTATTGTTGAAGCACTATATTTCATACTTTTTGGGTAGTTCATTGTAGCAATATATGTTTTGGGAGGCTAACAAGAGTTTGTCTAACATGGTTATTTTAATAACAGTATATATATATATTTCCCATAATGATTGGTCTTCTCTCCTCTTCCTATATTAAAGATTGGACCTAACTTGTTACAAAGAGTTTTATTCGTTGAATTGTCTTTTTGATATAATGACTATCGTGCTGGTCAAATGGAAATTAAAATCAAAGGGGAAGCTTGAAAAGAGATCAGTACCAAGTGTTTCGTCTGGTTGATTTTTTTAGGCTTTTGACTTTTCATTTGTTGTTTTAGTTATTCGGGAACCATGATCAATTGATTCTGGGAATCCTGCAGATTTTGCAGCCTGCATTCACGATCATACGTGATACCAATTCAAAATGTTTACTGCTATTGATCCGCGGTACTCATAGCATCAAAGACACATTAACAGCAGCAACTGGTGCAGTGGTCCCGTTTCATCATTCAGTTTTGCATGATGGTGGACTAAGTAACTTAGTTTTAGGGTATGCACATTGTGGAATGGTTGCTGCAGCTCGGTGGATTGCTAAACTTAGTGTTCCTTGCCTCATTAAGGCCCTTGATGAGAATCCTAGTTACAAGGTTCAGGTAATGCTATGTGCTATTTAGTGGTATATTCACAGATTTCTTTTTCCTTCTTGTTGTGACCGCTTTAGATTTAAATTGCTAGAGGTTTACATGACCTGGAAAATTTTTTACTTATGTGATAATCTAGAATATAGTTTTCTTCAATCCTTTGGATGTTGTTCGTAGTTGCATTCCTGGACATTATGTAGGCATTGTCACACTTAGCAAACAGCTGATGGTATAATTTACGAACATCAGAGCCAATTTTATGAATTCATATGTACAAATCTCTCTAAACATCCGCATATAAGAGAGAATTGATATTAGCAAATGATATGCGCCTTGGCTTGAAAATTTTACTGTTGAAATAGGAAGTCCTTTATCTACTGATTGTGGCTAAGGAGCATATGTTGTTTCAGATTGTGGGTCATTCTCTTGGGGGTGGGACGGCTGCACTGTTAACGTATATTCTTCGAGAGCAAAAAGAGTTTGCCTCGGCTACTTGTTTCACTTTTGCACCAGGTAACACCCAATTAAGAATTAATGGTGGAATTATCTTGTCTTTTACGTTATCTGCTCCTCTCCTTTAATTTGGATGCCAAACTCTTTATATGTCAATTGGTTCTGAGTGTTTTTATTCAATAACTTGCAGCTGCTTGTATGACTTGGGATTTAGCAGAATCAGGCAAGCACTTCATTACTACTATTATCAATGGATCTGATTTGGTCCCAACATTCTCAGCTGCTTCAGTCGATGACCTTCGTTCTGAGGTACGTAACCTGCTTGGTCAATGTCACAGGATTCATCCCTGTTCACCACAGATTAAATGGTCCTGATTCTTTAATTGGTACAATACATTGCTAACCTTGGTACATCAAAGAGTTAATACAAACCTTAAATGTTTAATTAGATCTGCTGTAGAAAGATTTGTATAGAGATATCATCTTTCCCCTGCTAAGGATTTATAGTCTTTTCAGATTTCTTAGTTATTCACATTTTTGCCAGTTGACACAAGTTTTTCTCACAAGGAAAATGGAAATTACGGTCTTAACACTTAACACGTGATTTCTTCCTATCCATGGTACACCCATTTTCGTATAAATAAGATGTTTTTTTGTTTTCCAATTGTTGGCAGGTAACATCGTCCTCCTGGTCAAATGACCTGCGTGATCAGGTAGAGCACACCAGGGTGCTTAGTATTGTTTATCGGTCTGCAACTGCTATAGGATCTCGTTTGCCATCTATAGCCAGCGCTAAAGCAAGAGTGGCTGGTGCTGGAGCTATTCTGCGGCCTGTCTCAGGCGGCACTCAGGTAAAATCTTTGGTTCACAATACCAATATCATGCAGCAGTCTTGCCAAAGAAAAAGGTGTTGGCTTTATGAGTGAATGGGTAGGGTATGGTATGGTAGGAAGTTAGGAGAAATGAAATAAGGAGCAATGTAAAAAGATAGATGTAGCTTCGTGAAAAGGTGTTTCATTGTCATCATGAGATTAATGTTGGGAAATTTGTTCAGGTCATGCTAAAGCGTGCCCAGGATGTAGCGCAAGCCGTTGTGCAGACCCGTTCATCTCTCACGTCATGGTCTTGCATAGGACCACGCCGTCGAGCTATCAGCTCTCAGCTTAACTCTAAAGTCACAGACTTGCCCGAAGCATCCGCTATCATACCCGAAAGAAGAAGCACTGAAGCTCTACTCGCTGAAACCCTAGTGATAGACCGTAAAGGTCACAAGAGAACAGAGCATTGTTCTTCAAGCAGCAGCGAATCTGAACGT